ATGAAGGATGTTATGGGGTTGATATGACATCAACGATCCTCCAGACATGGAGATGCTACAGTGTCCTGCAAGCCAGCCGTCTCCCTTACAACCCCCGGAGATGGCGTGGGGAGGGCTCTTATATAGAGGGAGTCGTAATCACTTCCTTTGTTATACTTTGAATGCGTGGTATGTTTCCTTCACCAGACAATACAATCTCACGTGATCCGAATGGAGGTAACTGCGAGGTAGAATGTCACTTGCGCATTGGCCAGCGTGAAAGTTGAGCCTGATGGCGCGCTTTCGGGACCCTGGGATATTGAGGAAAAAAATAATGTGCAAAGATTATAGAATTTGTAATATTTTTTTACGTTCAGTTACTTCTTTAAAACCAACGCGGAAAAAGAGCTTTTGAAAATATTTGTTAGTACATCAATTTATAGAAACTGGAATATCACCTGACCTAAAAGAGAAATATCTTGCCAAAAACTGGCCAACCACTTCCGAAAATCTAAGATACATGAAGAACAGTCCAATGCGGCGGTCTCGTATGCAGATAAACATTTACGGTTTAAAATTTTATGGTAGTCTGTCGGTAAAAGCTGAAAATAAAAAACAGATCAAAATATTTTGTGAACTTTTTTTAATTTATAAGGTATCAAAGTTAACAAAAAATATCTACTTTTACGAAGTATTCTAATATTTTATCTATTTGTTGACAACAACTGCGTGTGTCAACTCAACGGAATCTGGAACCCATCGACAGCAGGTACGTAACCGCCTTGGACGAGGCTAGTGATTGGACGGCTCAATGTAAAATCCCCATAGGCGAACAGCACAAGGGTTCCGAAAGATCCCTTCGTGACCTTTTTACTTTTCGTCATCCATGGTCATCACAAATCGGCGAAGGCCTTCAAGTCCGAAGGAGCTCTTATTATCGAGGTTCGACTGTAAAATGTTCTAAATGTTTGAAAGTCAAAAGAGACGGAATTTAGTTGAATCTTCTAAACAATGTCCATTATGGTTCATTCACTCTTTGCATTTTGCTTTACCCTGTTGGCAGCTCCCTTTTCAGGAATAGTGAACCGAGGACTCGGCGTTGGTAATTCCATAATGGTGTGCGGTGCAATGATCGGTGTGGCCTATATTGGTGGGTCCTTTGCTAATACGGACGTTCAGCTAGCATGGCTGTTTGTGCTGTTCGCAGGTACATGTATGAGCGAAATGTTTTGTGATATTTTACCATAATGAACATTACAAGTATTATGTAGCGCACAAAAAAGGAAGGAAAGGGGCGGGGTCAAATTCGCCCCATGCAGGTTAGGAAATATTGTTTAATAAGAAATCAGTACATGAGAAATGTCGATAAACATCATTTATATTAACCCCCACGCGGAATAATGCGATGCTTGGACACCTCTGTAAAGTCTTCCCTCCAGTGGTTGGGAAACGATAGTCATAGTGAACGATAATGTGTTCGGTGTGCATTTGGTTTGATTATTGAAGTACCAAACATGCACTTTTAAAACTCCTTATAATAGGCACATTGCATGTCACTGGATACACCAAGTTATCAGATATGAAGAGTTGGTGGGAAAGCTAGAGAGGCCGCGAGGACAAGGGCTATTCTAGGATTACATAAAGCCATAAACGACATTTGTTTCATGATTCGTATTCTAATAGTTTTAGGTTCACCCGAATGATCGAAGGTATTATATATTATACTCTGATTAAAAGCCTGAAAGTTTGATCGCAAGCAATGCCAAATAAGTTACCAAACATTCACGACAGTGGCTAGGAGACTCCTTCCACACCTTCCTCAACGCTTGAATTTTGAACTAATTTCCCTTTGTAATTGAATGAATGTAGGGCCTACGTGTTACCCTGGTAAATAGCTAGCTAGCTTATTTTAACAATCACAAGATGTCATGCGACACTGGCGTAGATTTAATCATGGTTTTCGTTAGGTGTTGGTTTGGGAGTATCGAACGTCCTCGCCAAGGAGGCTGTCGGTAGACGTTTTACCAAAAACTACGCAACTGCCAGTGGTATTGCTCGGACTGGATACGCCGTTGGACTGCTCGTATTTGCACCGCTGATCCAGCTGTTCCTCAATACGTACGGGTGGCGAGGGACCATGATGCTCATGGGCGGTGTCAGCCTGCACCTTGTCGTGTGCGGCGCTGTCCTCACCACTTCTGGTAAGGTCACACCCCAGCAGACAATGTATCATCAAGTCTCGGATCAGGAAAATTCCACTTCTACTGTGTCCCAAAACACTCTCGCACATCGGTGCAGTGGAGTACGGGAAAACCTTTGCAAGAACTTGGATATGAGGCTGCTCGGTATCGGACACTTCTGGGCCCCAGCGGTCATGATGTGCTGCACCATATTCGCCGACGACATGTGGATCATCTACTTCGTGTCCCAGGCTCAATCCAACGGATTCACCGCTGAGCAGGCGGGATCTTTTGTGTCAATGGCAAGCGTCGGGGGTGTGATAGGCAAAGTAGTCCAGGGACTTCTCACTGACTGCGGAGTGATATCTTCCTGGAGTTTAACGGCTATGTCCATCATCCTGAGCTCTGCGGGGTACTGCTCAACTCCCTTGCTGACGTCGTACTGGGCAAGCGCAGCAACGGCATTCTTAATTTTGTGTAGTAGTGGCGTTCTTGCGTGCCAGGTTGATGTTTTCATCAAACAGGTGATGGGTGTGGAGCTGCTGGCTGGTGCCTTCGCATGGGTGGGGCTTCTCACTGCAGGCATGTCATTCTTCGCGGGTTTTCTTCCAGGTCGGTTGCCACTTGTATGCTTTTGAAGTTATCGTTCAACATGATGATTATTTTCATTGCCAAACTTTGAAGAAACAATACTAATATGCCCTTTATTACTTTACAAATTCTACATGGACACACCAGTGTTGCGTTTCAAAGACGTCACGGAAATCTTAATTTCTTTTACAATCTTGGACTTCTTGGTTTATTTTCAGGCTTGCTGTACGACCTCGCGGGGAGCTATACTGCTGCATTCCTCATTGTCGGTGCCGTGCAGGGTATACCTCTGATCCCACTTGCAATCCTGCGGTACTCTTACGGCCGCGTCGAGAGTGCCGAGTAGAAGGGTTATGACAGATTACCAGTAAAACGGCGTTGAATTCTCTTTCCCAGATGCAGAATAATTGAAAGTTAATATAACGTTTCGGATGAAATCAAAACCATGTTGCAACAATTTCTCAACGTTGACAACGACTCTTGCTATCTGTCAGTGCTTTTCACATCCATGGTTGTGACGTTACTTCTTTAGAATTTTCACTGGTTCACAAAGGACTATGAGATGTACGTGTTACGATCGCTACCAGCAAATTCAAAGAACACACTTTTCAACCGACGAGGGAGCGCTTCTGCTTGCCGCGGATGATGCACAGCAAAAACGGAAACATTATGCATGATATAATGATCTTGTATTTTGAAAATGAAATAAAAGTCATAGTAATAATATTGAAAAGTGATATCTTAATACACGTATTTGTATAAATGGAAGTGCATAATGTAATGAAGTACATTACCTATGTGCGCACCTGTCCTCATTCGGATTCCTGGATCTGCCCCCCTGAGTGGATACATCTTTCGAAAAAAAAACCGTCTTACACGCATTTAGGCTACTTTATCCATTTACCGGCTGGATGAAGACAATTTGTTCTCAAAAACGTTTTAACTTGGTAAATTAAGGAAAGTTTCACCTGTGAAAATAGAAATTTACTAAATGTGTACATGCGATGCGTATAAAACTGATGTGTTGAATCCAACATTACAAGAGTGCAGTCAGAGATCACTCTTTGAAAGTTTAAATCCAACATTTCAACAAGTTAAACCTTGAATTGTAAACATCATGTCCAACAGTTAAAGACTTTATTCAACAATTTAAGTGTTCAACATTTCCCCCTCGATATTGTTATGTCATCATTTAAATTGTTGAATGAACAGTTTATATGCTGAATTGATAATTTCAGATGTTGGATTTAACTTTTAAAACGTTTGATTTTAACACCTTTTTAGAGTGGTCAAAGACCGCATTATCGTTAAATAATGGATTCAACACTTCAGTTTTTAGAGTATACAGTTGGTAAAAACCAAAATTACGGGGCTCAGTCAATTTTGTGTAAAGGACCACACTTAGTCTGAGTGTCAGTTTGTGGCGTCGCTGACTTAATTATGCTGTACCAGCCATGTGTTATGAGTTACTGGTCATTTGTGTTTTGGCGTTCTGCAACTTTTTTTTGAATCCCATCAATTCTGAACAAGTGAACGAATGCAGTGAATTCGTGTCAAACGTTTCAGAACACTTTTCTCCAAATTGTAATTTATTCCACAAAATGCTTTTGTTAATTCTTTAAATTGCCCTTCTTTTTTGCCAGTTGCACTCCCATGTTGTGTTAGCGCATGAATTACAGGCAGTGCAAGGTTTCGCGATATGAAACCAAAAAGAATACAGATGTGTTAGGCCTAGTTCAAGGTGGGCAAGACGGTGACGAAATATAATGCCATAGAATGTTTATGCCTTTTTTGATCTTTCTTTTAAACTGCGTGTTTATTGATGACTCCTCCTCGAGGATCACCGTATGTGGACCTGGCTTGGTCCACTCCGGTTTCTAAAAACCTGTATTGTGTGGACCTTTGTTCACAATTTTGTTGAAACTTAGCATGCATGTACAGACACTCCTTATCATCACGAAGTTTGAACTCAGTCAGATCATAGTTTTGTTTAAGTCATTTGAAGTTCATGGCTATATGTGTGCCGGTATGTACGCGTGCATTGAGCACTGCAGTGGAAATACGTTTTGGGCAGACCCGTCTCGGAAAAATGCGTGCTGCGCGAGAACGGTTCGATTTTTGCAAAAATGGTGTCAAAATGACCGCGCAGAATTGCTCTGAAAACTCAAAGGCTCAACTTCTGAAAAAACTGCACCTCGGCGATGTTGGAAAAAAATGTCGAGGGGGCATTCTGCCCCTGGCTCTTTTAGGGTAAACCTTAATTATTTTTTTTGCATCGTGTATTTGCAAATGAGGTCAAGTCCGAAATAACCTCAAAATACGTTTTTTTGGTTTCTCACAGAAAGTGGAGATTTGAAAAGAGCATCCCTGGAACGTGGCTGTCAGCTTTTCGATTCCCTTCCATGCCTCGATCGCTACGCGTACGTCACAGTAGCTTGTCGGCTTGCAGCCTGCTTGTTGTTGATATTTAGCGCCCTCATGGGCATGGAACTGAAAACGCGATTTTCAAGATCCATGATCACGCGTACGCGCGTACTGTACATATGTACATGTCTATGTACGTACGTACGTACGCGTACGTATATCCTGCCGAGACGATAGCACAGGTTGGTGATATTCGCGCAAGTCTTAAGCCGATCACCATGACTTAATCATTGCCTCATTTGGCAGGGATTGTTGGAATGTAAGTACTAAGTTAAGCAACATCTTCATTGGCTAAAGGAATGTGATCCCCAGTGGTGTGGATCCGCGCAATTTTCAACCGTTAAAGCCATTTACATTATCTAGACAATTCCTTCGCCTTTGGTACTTGAAACATTGGTGTCTTGTTCCCGGACGTCAGGTCATCCTGGTCATGCATGCACATAACATTACATGTACGTGTGGGCGATAATTGTACCGGTACGTTATAGGCCTTATAAAGTACTCGGTCAGGTACTAGGCCTACTGCTAGTAATAAGCCCTTTTCCAATACTCAACTTGGGCTCCGTCTCAGGCTTTGTTCCCAAAACCAATCCCCGATTGTGGGCCTGAACCGTTTAAATTAAATTGGATTACTGTAATTTCTGGCTCTCTTGCATCTTATTTGATGTTTTATGGAACTAGTATTAGACTAATTACTGCGCTTACAGCTTCAAAGTCAACTAGACAAAAAACAGTTGAAGCCTGAGACGGAGCCGAAGTTGAGTATTGGAAAACGGCCCTAGCACTAGCCCCGCATGTACATGACGTAGGGCTGTAGTGGCTCTCTTTTACAATCTGTCTCTTATCTGCATGATCTATCGGTGCCACTACAGCCCTTCTTGTGAGGCTAGTACATGTACATGTAGAATGGGTGCCTGATTACTCTGTCATCGCGGTAGTTATCACATTTCCCGATCGAAATTTTATAAAGATTGCTGGCTCACCTTCTTGAACTACCCTACCTTTGCTGTTGTTTAACTCTTATGTTACATGTATATTGATTCATAAAATTTTGTTTGTGGTTCAATTTATTTTCCTCTACAATAGCTCAGAAAATTTGCGTGTGCACCGTCATGGTATGCAAGCAGAGGTGTAGTCTCTAACTTAAGTCTTAATGCGGTATGGAGAAATTTTTTCTACAATGGCCTTTAAAGCACTTTGTTTTGGCATAAGTAAAGATAAAAAGAATCATTTTGTTTTCAGAGGAAACAAAATAACCTCAGTTTGTGACAATGTTCCATGTTACCTAGGTCTATAATTGACTCCATTTTTCCCACCTCCTCCTTAAAGATGCCAAATGCTGTGAGAACAAGATGGGAGCAATTGCACTGTGGCACCTTATACTTATTAATGGGGAAAGGAATGACTTCATTTTTTTCACCAGAACTTGTTTACCCCAGTCTTAAATGCAGCAACAACTTTGACATTCATCTTATTACTTAAATTGGTGTTTTGCTGAAGGAATAATAAATGGTAATTACAAATTTCATTTTTTTGGTGGACTAATTCTTTTATCAATGTCTGAAACAATTGTTAAAAATGTCTTCTTTCTGAGTTCTAATTCTTCAAGAGTTATAACCATCTCATTGGACCTGAAATATTTGATTCTGGGTTCATTACCTTTTCAGCACAGGAGCCCTTATTTTGATTTGGAAAAAACTGGGTATTTTCGCAGTTAATATGTGCCTTTAGACACCTTTGGCCGTTTCAAAATTGATGCTTGGGAACCTAGCAACAGATATCCAAGGACAGGATGGTGTTAGAAATAACTGTTAAAGAGACAGATGGTAGGTTATTATGATGGACAAGGTTAAGGAAAGTTTACAAATTTTTGAAAAATTGTAACTTTTATTTAGAAATTATCAAAATGTAAAACATGCGAAATTTTTCTTGTTTTTGCTAAAACTTATCCTTAGGCCATAATTTATTGAATACTTGAACAATTATTAACGCAAAATTCAAAATTTTTGATACAGCGATAATATAGGAATGGAGCGTAAGGTGCGAGTACGAGTACATGTACGTATAAACAGCGGGCAGGTTCTTGACTTGAGGATAAATAGCCTAACTTAACCCTAACCCTCCCAAATCCTCCAAAATCCTTTTCTGCAAATGGAGGAATTAGAGGATTAAGGGTGTATGGCAAAGGTGCATGGCTAATTTGCCATATGTGAAGGTCATAGATTAGACCTTACGTTGTTTGTGCTTAGTCAAGCATAAATTCAGCTCGATATTTCTTTTGAATCAACTGCACAGCTCAAGAGTGTCATTCACACTGCCTCAACATAATGACAAGAATTGCCGGAGGATTTTGAAGGATTCAGGCAGTTAGGCACTCCTCCAAAAGACATTTTCAAGAAATATTGGAGGATTTGGGCTGAATGCAATTTTTTCATGTTGAAAATCGGAGGATTACAGAGGATTCAAGATGGTTCCTAGTAAAAAGGCGTAGTGTAGGGGGGTTACATGTAGGGTTAAATGAAATTTTCAAGGAAGTGCATGGAGCAGTGTTTGTGTTGAGCGCAATCGGTGATTGGGCAGACTTTGCAATCAACTTTGGTTGATCGTATTGCAGGATTTATTGATCTTATTGATAATGCCATCTTCAGGTGATTGCGCTTTTTACTTTTACTCCATGGTTGCTGAAGATTATTTCAAAGAGAGGAAGTAAAGTTGGAGATTTCTTGCTTGATAAACCATGTTACAATGTCAACCAGTCATGTAGAGCAGTCGGGCAGTCATGCAGAATGAGAGATTGTGCCCAACAGCATCACACATTACGCTAGTAATATAGTCACCAGGTCCCTCATTTTGCCACCTATTGTCAAGTCTGATTGGTTCTCACAGTAAGTGGTAAAATCAGGGACCTGGTGACTATACACTCAGAGCATGACGTGCACCCCCAAGTGGCAAAAGAAAGACAGATGGTAGTAAGTTTCCAAGTGGGTTCTTGCACTCGTTCTGTGTGTACGCAAAGACCATACATTGAGAAATAGATTTGTTACGCGTGCTCAGCTTGCTCCGCGTTAAACGTGCTATTGATCTTCGTTATAAACAAGCGCCTATGGTGTGATTAAAAAAAAATGCCCTCATTTGTTCCGATCGGGGCGGATAAGGTTACGCATGTTGAGCCTTTTCACATTTGATGTGCGCATGTTCCCCTGTAACGTTCTTCATTTCATCATGTAGGTTTGCGGAAGCACCATGGATGTCTCTTTTTGAGAATGTTGGGTTCTGAAAAGAACTGGTGGTACTCAACGAGAAGATTGTCTTCTTCTCTTTGTGTAGCTGTTGGGCATGATCAGTTGATCCGCTCGCAATTACTCAATTTGATACTGTACAATCTGTCAATAATTTCACCTTCAGATGATTGTGGTTTCTTTCTTGGATGATTGTTTCAAAAAGAGAAGCACATTGTAAAGTTTGAAATTTCACATAGTACATGTATGTACATTTATGCTGGATGGACTGAGAGGCCTAGTGCAACACAATCATGTGACCGTGCTGATCAACTGATTGCGCCCACCATTGCCTTTTTATCCCTAAAAGAGCCGGGGGGGGGATTCTCAACATTTTTCCCGATACTTTTTTCCCATGTTTTTCACAAGCTGAGCCCTTAATGATTAAATGTCTTTCACTCGCTCGTGTTTTGACACCAATTTCATGGAAATCGAAGTGTGCAAAGAGTGATCATTGACATTGCTTATTGTAGGAGTGAAACTTGGCAGAAACTTGGATACACAAATAAGAACGGAGCAAAAAAACTCTCCTTACGGAAAGGCAGCCCAAGTTGGGATCTACCATTCGTGTACATGTACCCCTCGATACGTGCACTAGTTGGTGACAACTTTTTTTTCGAAAATTCTCAAAGACAATTAAACGCAAACATGAGTCATTTTGTACATTTTTTCTGGAAGAAGAAACAGAGTGAAAAAGTGTAAATTCTGTCTCCCAGTCTTCAATCCGCACTGAGGGCTTCAATACGTACATGTGGAAGCCTGCTCAAATAGCAGCAGGTCCGTCGATGTGGAAGGTTTTAAAAGCTAAAGGCCTGCTAGCAGCTTTTTTGCTTCAAAAGTTTTGCGTGCAGAAATGCCTGAGACTTAATTGCACCTGTGCTCAATTCATTAAAATTACCAGTCAAGCAGATGTTTATTATTTTCTGATTTTTAACCCTAATAGTCCCAAATCCTTCAATTTTAATATGATTTTACAAACACCAAAGGGGGTTAGGGTTAATTATTTCCTGTGGATTTCGTGAAACAAGTGTGTCAAAAGTTGTATCAGAAGTGAAATGCACCCTTCTGTGCCTGTGATGACTGGCAGATAGACTGACACTTGAGCACTTTTTACAAAAACATGAAACGTGATTTGCAGATCTGAAGAAATGTTTTGAAAATTGGCAATTTACACGTACAATGTAGCACCAGTCATGTCTGTGAAATCCTTGTGCCTGGTATGCTGCGCGTACATGTATTAGGAAAGCATGAAAAAATATCACCAGTTAAATAACACGATTAATCAAGCACAAAAAGAGGAAAATGGGCATGCGTTTATGGAATTGTTTAACGTAAAATTATCAAAATGCCTTTGGCTCTTAAATTTAGGGGTCAGCTAAAACATGCAGGTACATATTTACGGAAAGGTGGCCTAATTGTGCTCTCTAATTTATGTGTGGTTTTCTGGTTCAATGACAGTGTTACTGTTGACTTCATTAGTTTGATGATTCCATTAATTGAGATTGGTAGATTATTTTTGTTCAGACTATGTAATCAAATCATGGCTCCATTTCAGGCTGAGTAGTGCTGATGATATCATCACCTTGCCTTAGGATGTAATGAATTATGGAACAAGATACCATGTACATTTACTGGTGCCCGATGCCTGTGTACCCCATACTTCAAACCCCAGCAGCAGTTGTTGTTCTTTGGGCTCATCCTAAAATGTAAAGTGTCTTATGACGCATGAGAGACTTCTTCTTTGGAGGTTGAGGGGGGGAAAATGATTGAATGACTCTCCAGCATTTGACCATCTGGACCAGACAGGTCAATCTCTTTAGACCACCGGCAGTTAGTTCCTTTCCTGATGAGTAGGCCTCATGAACACTTGCAAGTGTTCAGCTAAAGTGGGAAGGTCACTTTGTTGGGGCTTGGGAGAAATATGTAGAAGTTTGATGCTGCTGATCTTTTTATGTGCCATTTTGATTTGTGGACTTCCTCT